GATGCCTGTTGGTGCTCAGTCCGTCTAAGTGGCGATTATGAAAGAAAGAAGCGATGCAGAGCAAACTGCCAACGATTTGTTGAAGACATGAAGACTAAAGAAATTGGAAATCAAAATATTAATAATAACAATTGTGTGGTAGTGTTGGCCTAGTGGTTAGAGCAGTGTTCTGAGAAGGTTGCAGGTACCCAGTTCGACCCCCACTGCCTGCACCCTGGGTCCCTCCCAGGTGCCTAACAATGGCAGCCCACTGCTCTCCAAGGCGATGGGTTAAATTCAGAGAGAGAATTTCCCCATTGTTGGACAATAAATGGATCTACATTTTAAATTTTTATTTTTTCAATATTAATCTATTTGGTCAAGATGGTTTAGAGCGATTGTGACGGCAACCAGGTGAGGAGTGCAGAGTTCCTCGCCTAGTGGAGCATGGTGGTGGAAGTGTCATGTTTGGGGTTGCGTAAGCGTCCATTAAAGGAATAAAAATGCCAACCTGTGACATAATCAAGAAGAGCGCGATCCCTTCCCTCCAGGAACTATATTTTTTATTTAATGATGAAACTTTTTATTAATAATTTATTTACAGAAGTATTTTTCCATCCATTGTTTTGAATAAATCATCTCTCCATATCTGCCAACGATGGTGCGTCTTCTCCCAACTTGCATAGTCAGTATTTCAAGAGGGGAGCTGGGAGCATTGATAGTGTGCAGTGCTGTATATTGGCCTGAGAACTCATGAAATAACTCATATGAGGCAACTCTGTAGGTCACAAAGTCCATGGAGTGCCTGGAAAGGTATGTGGAGGATTATCTTGAATTTTTAAAAGATCCAGCCTCTCAAAAAATGAGTGTGCAAGATTGGGAAGGAGCCCATTTCTCCTCATGCACGCTCTGTTTAAAAGTTCCTGTTCTCATAGCTCATACAAGCTTACTGTGACCAATCATCCGCCCTAACCCCTAAATCCCTCCGTCACTATATAGAGCGGGGACTGTTTAGTACACTTTATAGAAAAATGTTTTGTCCACTGCGCGGTGCCTCCGCCATCTTTGTTATCACTCTCTGTTGTCAGGTAGGGGCAACCAATGGCAACAGCGGGCCCCTGTGACTGCAAATCCCATAATGCTTTGCAAGGAGAGCTCTGCGCAAAGCATTCTGGGATATATCTGCCTCTTCTGAGGCCTTTCTTTTCTTCTCATACACTTCGTAGACACTTTTTCTCCTATGATTTCAAAAAACCGTGGTGATAAAGGTGAGCTTCAATGACCGTCTGAAACCGTAGCTCACCACAGATATACGCCTGAAAGTGTCCGCTAATGGGGTGAGCACGTAGGGCGGCCTTATATAAACATATCACCAGAATGATTGACAGTTAGGAGGACCACTTATTTAGATGATCCTACATAGGATCGTCCTCTAAAACTTTAAGTAGAGCGGTGTGTTTTTGTTTGATTTTTTTTAATAGCATAGCACCCCTAGTGGAGCTGAGAAGGAATTGCACCTCTTTAAAGCTTCCATTATATTTGTGTAAATACCTCACCGTTGTTCCTTACCTACTACACTTTAATGTAAAAGTCAATCCACCTGTATATAAGCCATCCTGACTGTACATATGACACCTCAAATCTCTGTGTTACTTTTTATTTAATTACGTTTTATTTCATTTTTATTTATTTTTATTCCTAATGCACCTTTTCCTCTTTGTTTTCACCTTCTTTTATTACTATGCCAATATGTGACGAGTGAATTTCTCCACTGTGAGATCAATAAAGCTCATCTAATCTAATCTAAATGGAGAGTGTAGAAAGTTATCATGCAAATGAGTTAAACGAAATGTCACATAAGTCCTGGTTTTAGTGGATCTTTGTGGAATAAATAGAGCTTCAGTTGAAGTTCTGCTGCAGCTAGCCTGATTTATTTCCTAAAGCTGAGCTCAGAAATTAGCAGACCGCGGTCCAGATCTGGACCCACCTGCTGGCTAATCCGGACCCAACCTGATTTAAATCATTTATAAATTACCGCATGTCGTGTGATGGCAGTGTCTAATTTCACTTGCGCCTCTTTTCCTGTTAATACGGTAAAGCCCTGGGGAGCGTCCGGCTCCAGGCTGCACGTG